TCCTCCTTCCACCACATTTCCTTATCTTCTTTCCTCCTTCCAGATGACACACCTAGCACCTTCCTACCTTTCTACCTGATCACTTCTGCTGTAGTTTCCCAGTCATCTGGAAATTCTTCCTGACCACCCAAAGCCTGTCTCAACTTCTGTCTGAATTCCTCACGACATTCTTTCTTTTGCAACTTCCACCACTTGGTCTTCTTTTCTGTCTTTCCTCTCCTCTTCTTCCTGTCCACCAGAGTCATCCTACACACCACCATCTGATGCTGTCTGGCTACACTTTCTCCCACCACCACTTTGCAGTCTCTACCATATATAACTCTAATTCCTCCCTTCTGACAGTGTGTTCATCAACTAGCAATGGCATCCAGTGTAGATGTGAGGAGCAATTTGCTTGGCCATACAGCACATGTGTCACTTATGGAGCCTGTGATCACATATCCAGTGGCATTTGTAAATGTATCAATGCCGTGCCAGCTGAACTTCAGTCCTGCCAACCATTATCAGGTAATCAAGCTGTCATTTGTAAAATTAAATTTAATCACAATGAATTCAGAGCCATACATTTCTTGTTGCTATTTATCACTATTCACCAGGTTCCTCTTAACCCCAGCAGTATGATCTGCAGTAACGTTTGATAGTTTGTTTCTTTGCTTCACTGTTCTTGGCTTTATTGTTTTGCTTTGCAGAATACTAGACCTCTAGGCCAGACTCTATATTTATTTTTGCCACTTTGTCTTATTTCATTCCCCCTTTGTTGAGTTTAAGGTCTTGCCTAATAGATCCTTGTTCTTATCTTGGTTGCAAGGTTTTCAGCTTAATTACTGTTGTTAAAGACCTCTGACCATGTTTCACTGTGGGTTGTACTTACGTACCTGCCCTGCTATAAGTGTTTCATCAAAACACCATAAAGATGCTACGGAAATCCTTTGTCTGTATTTAGGTTTGCACTTTAAAACTGTGAAAAGCAGAGTCTTTCAGTATCTTTAAACTTCTTGTTTTGGTTTTCCATTCTGCAACATCATTGTTTTCGTTCACTTTCAGTCAGTGGACACAAACATTACTGCTAAGGAATAATATTGTTTCATATCTACTGAATGTCTAAAAGGTCAAGTTCTATCAAGTTCTAAGCTGATATGGAGATGTTAGTCCTGTCTTTACATCTTGTTTGCACCACCCCCAAAGTGTAAAATCAATTGCAATTAAAAAGAAAAACAAAAAAAAAAAAACTGAAAATTATATAAATCTATAATTAAAAGGTAGGTTTACATTATGGTTTGAGTGGCGATGCCTGTTTGGTGCTTTTATTTTTTGTGGTTGGCTTCCTGTTTCTTTCAGTTCACATGCCCCAGCTCATCAGTTTATTGTTTACAGCTGCTACTATCTCCTGGTCCTGCCCCGTATTTATACACCCTGTTTCCCACTGTTTGGTTGCTGGATCATTAATGTTCACATGCCCTGAGTTTGCCCTGAGTTTTTGTGTTCATGCTGGATTACTGCTCTCTGGCTGCGCTAGGCTTTGGTTAGTTCCATGTTTGCATTATCCACTCTGGACTCTCGATTTATTATCTGTTAGTCGTCTGGCACTTAGCTGAGTTTTCTCATTTCCTGATTGTCTCGCTACGAGCAGCGCCTGAGTACTGTTTGTTCGCCTCCTGTTTTTTTCCATCCATCTGAACCCTTAACTCTTTGAATGTCTGGTGTGCTATGAGCGTGGCATCTGCCTCTTACCTGCCGTAAAGCCCAAGTTCCAACAAGCTTCTCCAGTGTGCTCAACTCCTGACCTCCTTCATGCTGTGCCAGTGTGTTTTGAGTAACCTGCTCGCCTGCTGTGCTGTGGAGCGAGTGCTCCAATGCTGTGATTAGTCTACTCATCTGTTATCCTGGTCCTCTGGTCCTCCTGGGCACTGCTGCTCGTCTGTCTACTCACCTGTCATCCTGGTCCTCTGGTCTTCCTGTGTCCCTCCTGCTGCCGGCTCTCCTGCTCGTCTTCTGGTTCCTGTGTCCCTCCTGCTGCCGGCTCTCCTGCTCGTCTTCTGGTTCCTGAGCCCCTTCTGCTGCCGGCTCTCCTGCTCGTCTTCTGATTCCTGTGCCCCTCCTGCTGCCGGCTTTCCTGGTTCTTTGTCCTCTTGGTCTCCTCCTGGTCGCCTCGTCCCTCCTGGCTCTTCATCCCCCTGGTTTCTCTTCTTGCCTATCCTTGGTTGTTCCCTGCCTGCTTGTCTTCCTGGCATCCTGAATACCTGTGTTTTGTTAATTAAAACTGCTTTCTTTGGTTCCCACTCCTCTGGTCTCTGTGTCTGCCTCTGGGGTCTGCCCTCATGAACCGTAACACTTTTTCTCATTCTGTGCCAAATATTGATGTTTTTTTCAGGTATCTTTTGTATCCCATACTGATGCTAAAGGGTGCCTTTCATTACAGAACATTATTAGCGTTATAGAAAAACATGGTTATGAATGTGGTTAGGTTTAGGAAAATATAGTGGCTTGGGTTAAAACCCACACTGATTAAGAACTATTGTGTTACACACTGGAGGCAAACTCCACTCTGCCTTGGAAAAGTTTGATGTTTTGTTTGACCCACCAATGCCAAACACTTCCTAGCACAAACTTTCTCTTTTCATATACTACAACCTCTCTGGGCATCAAATACTGAAGCAAGTGAATATGCTGTTGAAAACCCTGTGTCTCTCATGTGGAGACCAAAGGTAATCTTAGGCATCCTTGTGAGATGCTAAAGGTGCTTCACATATTTTCAGTATTTGACACCTTGGGAATGAGGACAGGCTGAGCAAGAAAGAGAAAGAGACCCTTATGTAGCAAAAAGAAAATGATCCCTCACTGGCTTCCCACCCAATATTTGATGTTCTTGGCATTACAAATCCCAAATACAATGCTTATTTCCTTTGAATTTTTTTTATACTTGCTTTTTGTATATTATTTTTACTTTATATTTTCCTGTTGCAGTGGCTGGTTGTACAGTAGCCCTCAGGCCTTAAATACATGAAGTTCAGTGTGCTCTTCAAAGGGACATCAGCCCACCCAGGACACAACTTTAGGTTTTACCTTCGGGACCACATCTAAATGATATGCACAGTGATGTCTCCAGAGTGGCATGTCCTGAAAACAAAAAGCATCCTAAATCATGTTATATTTTTCCTATAGCACTACTAGCACAGGTTGAGTATGAAGTCGATGTGGAGCTCATTCTGAAAGATGCTGGGGTAGTGGACTACCTTAGAAGACTACTGAGCAATGGCAGTTTTTTCCTGGCTCTGGGTCCTACTGTGAATGTGACAAATATTAGCATCACCACAGGTAAGAAAGGAGTTCCTTCTGGTGTGAAAACCATGGGTGTTCATTTAGTGAATCAAGGTGGAGGGTGTTAAGTTATTTACGCTTTCCATGAAACATTCTGATGATTTTCTATGTATATTCAGATGTGGTTTGCCATTTTTTACAAAACCATTTTCTATATTACAGATATTACTGTTTATTAAAAATAGGGTTTTCCCTGGTTGCCTCCATTACATCAATGCATAATCGAGTGTTCATCTTGTAATTTGTCACCTATTAACTCCACTTATCTGAAGTAATACAGCAGCTAAAACTTTCCATTCACTTTTCTGACGAAGAAATTGGTCAAATTTATCTTTAACCCTTTTTACACATTATAGTGACCATAACAAGTTTTTCCAGTGGCATGATGGTTCAGTGGTTAGCTCTGTTGTCTTACAACAAGAAGGTTATGGGTTCAAGCCCCACTCATCCCAGAGCCTTTCTGTGTGGGTTTGCATGTTCTCCCTGTGCCTGGTTCTCTCTGGGTACTTCTCCTACAGTTCAAAGACTTGCAGCGTAGGTTGATTGGTGACTCTAAATTGACTGTGGGAGTGGTTGTTTGTATCTGTCAGCCCTGTGATAGACTGGTGACCTGTCCAGGGTGTACCCCACCTCTTACCCATTGTCAGCTGGGATTGGCTCCAGCCCCCAAGCAAATGGCACATTTGTGAATGGATGAGGAAACCATCTGTTGTTAGCAATAGTGGAAGACTGTTATTCTGGTCAGACCATATTGCTATATTACCTACAACAAACCTCTCCATATTTGTGATTAAACCCCATAATTTAGATCAAGAATCCCTCAGAATAAAACATCACTTCCAAAATGTCTACTTTGGGCTTGTGAACATTACAGTACAAATGACTGTAAAGTTTCCGGTCTATACAATAAATGCTTAGCTAATCACAGCACTGAAATAGCCCTTATGAGACTAATTAATCCCCTTAAGAACACTGTGATTCAAAGACAGTTTTTGTTTTGGTGAGACCTTTCATACTCTTGTTTTAATGCAAAGATGTAAACACCCTTTTTGCCCATCCAGAGTTTGTAAGTGATCCCAACCTAAACAGTTTGGAACAGTTTAATATTGTAGCATAGTCTAGCTTGAGGAAGGAGCTGGAGACCGAAGTTGCCGTTTTGTCAGCACAGTGGCTGCTTTATTATTTCACACACCAAATGAACACAGAACACACTCACAATCCCCACCAACCCAGAACTACTGTATATACTACCCATCAAGTGTATCTTCACCCTTAACATTACAATATTTAACAATGTGTTTGTTTTTCACCCTGCTTGTTTTTCGGGGTAAAATTGCTGGTTTTGTCCTTTATTTTGAAATATATATTTGCTGAATAGTGTTGGGACTCCAGCCAAATCACTGTTTTGGTGCAAAATTAAAATATTGTAGTAACTATCAAGAATAACAAGTGCTGTACAGGTCATGATTAAATGACTTCAGAGCCAGAAATCATCACTAGAAACTCAGCCACTGTTTTGTTTGAGATCTTGCGAGTTGGAGCATAGCCGTACCAAGAGTATTAAATGTGAACAGTCCAAATATGTAACTGCACTGTATGTCAACAAGAAAATTCTTCCTTGGCTTCAAAGATACTGAGGCCTGTGCACACATGCACAAGTTAAAATTCAACAAGTCTGCAGTTACAGGGAAGTACATGGGACCGTTGCCTGCCAAGTGAGCAAACACAAGTGGCCTATCAAAAATTGATCTAATAGCTGTGTTTTTAATGTTTTGTATAATTATAAACCGTGTATAATTAATAACCAAAAGGCTATTGAATTATCAAAGTACTCTAAATTGCTCTCTCTCTGTTTTGCCCATATTGTATGTTTTTTTTTTCTTGTAGTGTGTTACCCAAATGGCAGCAACTTCCAGTGCCAATGTGAGGATAATTATGTTTGGTCATATAGAAACTGCATTACATATGGAGCCTGTGATAAGATCACTGATGACACATGCAGCTGTATCAGCAGAATCCCGTCTAATGAGCAGTACTGCCAACCAAAGACAGGTGACGCTTACTTTATGCTTATTTGAAGCTTGACTCATCTGGGTGATGACATGTGTGTCACCCAGAGGATTCTTGCAGGAGACTGAATGGGCATTTCTGTGTAAAGGAAGCGTGGAGGGTTATAAGATAAATGTCATTTAGATATGCTACCAATTCTACCAGTCTTAAAACATTGTTGGCCAAGTTCCCCTTAAAGGTGTCCCCTTATTCTTTTATTTTCTGCTTCTCCTCCAGTTGTTTATGAATACCTCATCTCTATTGAGTTGAATGTCTCAGATGCTGCAGTAATAAATCAACTGAGGACCATCCTGAGCAACATCAGCTACCCCATCAGCATCAACAGCCACATACAAATCTATGACATTCACATTTCTACAGGTAGGATTAATAAGTGAGTCAAAAATTTGAATTGTAGACACATAAGACATAGTATATACTATAAATGTTCAGTTCTCTGAGTGACCAGAAAAATAGCAAATAGCATGTTTAGAATCAGCATCAACAACCACATGCAACTCTGATGTAAATAATAAAACAAAATGCAGGATAATTATAGAGCTTTAGTGATTTCCCAATGAGAGGTTCACTCAGGAGAATGTAAAGTACTTAAAATTATCTCTATTTTTACCAGCTGCAACATTAAAGCAATGAACACACAATAGTTCTATTATTATTATCCAATAATACAATAAACATTCATGTGATATGTACCAATCTACATAATGAATAGGCTACCTTTACTTCTGGTACTGCAAGTAAAGATTCCCTGCTAATATTTTTGTACTTTTTACTTAAGTAAAATTTGAATGCACAGTAACAGTAGAAATAGTAACATTAGAAATGCTGAAAATAAAAATAGGAACTGTGTATATTACTGCATGATTAAAATCAGCACCAGCAACTACAGTACATACAAATCTTGTTGTTCTTTATTTCCTGGTTGTTTTTCTTGATTCCTCTCCATACTATTCTTTTTTGTCTTATCCCTAGGTATCTTTTTTTTGACTTGTGTCTCAGGGATAAACTGTGGAAGGTCTATTCTTGTTCTTGATTGTCTCTTACATACTATATTTTTGTCTGGTTTCTAGGTACCTGGATCTTGTTTTCTCAAATATGTGTATGGTGTTTATTCTATGGTGTCATGTTGTTTTGTCCCTTACTGATGCTGGAACACTGGAATTTCCCGACTCTGGGATCAATAAAGTTCTACCTGACCTTACCTTACCTTACATACAAATCTATGACATCAACATTTCTACAATAATGACTGAACATATACTGTAGTAGTTGTTTTTGTGCTCTGGATGTGATCACAAAACACATTATTAATGGTTATATTATCACAGGAGAAAGAACAGACTTATTTGCATAATCTGGTTGAAATTCATAATGTTGCATTATTGTGAGCGCTTGAAGATCCAATCATCAGTAAAGTGTATTTCCTGGAAAAAGGAATGCTCTTAAAATTGATTGCATGGGCAATTACAGTTGCCACTGTGGGAAAAAAGTGTTTACATGGCCCTCGAAACAAGTCACAGCTTAACCGTGCACGTGCACGCATGCACTTCATAGGTATGCTCTGATACTTCATCAAATAGCACTACACCTCTGAGTTAAAGTAAAGATATATGCTTTTACTGTTTTCAAACAGATCACTTTATATGTCCTCCAACAACTCCAACCACTACCACTCCTAATACCACAAGCCCCACCACAACAACTACTACAGCTCATGCTACAGTTAATTCCATTATCCCTACCATGATGAGTACCATGGCTACTACCACTAGGCCTCCCACTAGAACTACAACAGCTACTACCACTGTCCCCACCACAACCACTACCACAGCTACTACCACTGTCCCCACATCAATGACTTCTGCAGCTACTACCACTGTCCCCACCCTGACAGCTATCCCTACCACAGTGATCACTGAGGCTGCTACCACTGTGCCTCCCACAACGCCTATTATGACAACTACCACTATCCTTTTGAAGACAAATACAATTCATACCACAACTACTGCCGGCATCCCCACCGCAACTACCGCCGGCATCCCCACCGCAACTACCACCACTTTCCCTGCCACGATGATTACCATGTCTACTACCACTATCCCCCCAAGAGGGACTACTTCAGGTGCTACTACTATCCCCACCATAACCACTACCACTACTACTTCCAGAATCACTGCAACCAGTACCTTATCAACAACCACAACAACTGTTATCTTGCCAACGCCAGCACCAGGTAGTGTTTTATTTACAAGGAGGCACTATGGATTATCAAGTATCTACTAGTATGACACTGAATACAAAAATAATAATTTTAAAAAGGGATGAAAATAGCTACCAAAATACAATTTGTTAAATTATCTGCTGTTTATGAAATTACATTGAATACCAGTGCCTGATGAAATACTGGTCTGTATATTCCAGCAGCCACTTGGTTTCTCAGAGCTAATGCAACAAAACTGTTCAGTTTTTAGAGTAATGGCTTCACGGTATTCTTTTTGGACCAAGATTTTAGGAAAAAGGCCTCTCTAAACTTTAAGTTACACTTCTCTCCTCTCATGTGTATTCTTTTGTGTCATGTCTGGCTATTTTACTGGTGTTTATCAGTGCCTATAGATCACAAAAGGTGAAATATTTATCAATTGCTCATGTTTTTCATCTTTTTTTTTTATATATAAACAGTATATGGGGTGGAAATGACAGTCACCTTAAATATGACCTACACTACAGAATTAAACAATGCATCAAGTCTTGAATTTAAGAAGCTTAACTCAATGATTCATCCAGTGGTAAGTGTATCACAGCTAATTGTCAATTTGTATTTTCAGTTGTTTGTGTTCTACTTATCTAATCATTAAATATGTCTCTTCACAGTTGGAGAAGCAATATAAAGGAATCACAGGCTTTATCAACGTCTTTGTGAAGGGGTTCAGGTGCAGTATTGCAGTTCTTTTGAATTAACAATAATTTGGAGGCTACATTCCACCTCACATGTTTGGTTTTTGTTTTTTCTTACAGAGAAGGAAGTGTAATTACAGACTTTGTTGTCCAGACAACACAAGTTAGTGTGGATGAAATAACTGAAGCAAATAATAAACTCCCAGAAGCAATGAAGCCCATTGCTCCTGTCATTGGCTCAGTTTCTACATTTTACAAAAGTAAGTTACAAAAAGCTATAAATTTATTATTTGTCTGCAAAATTTCCTAATCAAACTTAAGTGAAAACATTTTAGAGCTTTCATTTGCCAGTTAAATTTGGCTCCCAGTGCAGCAAGTCATTTGTCTTTATAAGATTTCTTGAAATAAGTCAAGGATGGCACAGCTGTGGTGGTTAGCACTGTTGCCTCACAGCCAGAAGGTTCCGGGTTTAAGCCCGGGCTGACCCAGGGGTTTTTCTGTGAGGAGTCTGCATGTCTTCCCTGTGCCTGCTTGATTATCTTGTAATGTGGGACAGACTTTAGTCATTAGTCATTTTGACACTGAGATTCTGCACTACAGCCATTCCAAGGGGTTGTCAATATCCTGCCCTTGTGCTGCTCATACATATCAAGCTAAGGGCGAGTATAATCACGAGCCAGCCTGTGAGTTCAGACAGCAGACTGGCATTCACACCAGAGGTGAGGCGTGACATTGCTCTGTGTCAACTGTGATATAAATTTTGCACCGGTAGTCTACACACCAAAACAACAATGGTGGGAGAGATAAGTGTGGATGTAGTTTTGTTGGCTCTTCAAAGCTTTTTTTTTCACTTCACACAAAATTGTGTGGCATGGTTCTGTAAATTTTGGTTCTCATGAATGAATCTCATGGTTCTTGCAATGTGTGTGAATTGTCATGAGTAATAACTGTAATCAACATGTTTGTGATATCAGGAATGCTTTGACCTTTAAGTTAGAGAGAAGCTGAGAACAGTTCAAGGCAGAGAGGCATGCAAAATTGAAACACCGGTGATAGTGTTGCGCACATATTACATCATCAAAATGTAGCACTTGGTCCTGGACTGCTGGCTCACCCTTTCTACACAAAGCATGTTTCCCCTTTGTTTCACCTCTGGTACTACCTCTCAAAGTAGATCAGAAGCAGAACAAAAATGGCTCACCATCCTGGCTTTGCACCTTACACACAGAAAACAAGACGGAATAAGGGCATACCAATCCCGCCCTGAAAAGGCAGTGTTTAAGGGTCTATTGTGTTTCTGCCCCAGTTGTACATGATCCTGTCTCCACTTCTGAAGGCCTCCTCATTAGCATGATGAAGCTGCTTAAGTTTTACTGTAAACTTTACCTGTTGTTGTTGTTGTTGTATGTGTAGAAGATCATGGTAGGCAAACATGTCCTCACAAAAACTAATATGATATCACCATGACAGTGAGTTCATCCTGGTCTGTAAAAGCAGGCTCAAAAACATTCCAGTTTATACAGTCAAAGTAGGCCTGCAGCTCTGACTTTGCATCATTGGTCCACCTCTTCACTATTTTAAACACAGGCTTTGCAGCTTTATGTTTCTGCCTGTAGGTCGGGATGAGATGCATGTGGTCAGACAGTCCTAAAGCTGGACGGTGGACAGAGTGATAGGTGGCCTTAATTTTTCTGTATACCAGTGGTCCAGTGTGTTTTTATTGCTGACAGGACAACTGACATTTTCCTGGGTAAAATTGTTATGCGGACAGCTCGATGGAGATGGAAGCCTGACAGGTGAACTGCGCTGTCTGGAATGAACTCACTGAACTCTCAGCGAAGTACAGAGCAGCAGAAGGGGAGACGTCAGAGTTAGTCTGGTTAACAAGAAGTGGTTCATCTATTTTGTTGGCTAGTGAGTAGAGATTTGTTAGGTGGATAGATGGAAGCAGCGTTTGTGTTCCATGTTGTTGTTTCAACAGCGCAACAGCAACCAGAGCACCCCACCCCCAATCTGAATAGGACATAAACCACTGTAAATACTATTATTATAAAATGGGATGAAATATGACAGGTTGAAAGAAAAATGAACTTAACAAAAGTCAAAATCTTTATATTTGGTATTTTTTCTTATATACCATCGTGCAAGCCCAAAGACTTGAAGCAATATTATTTGCCTTGAATCAAGAACTCAAAATAAGTGTTAAAGCATAGCAGAGGTCCTGTTAAAGATATGCCCCATTTCTAGGAAAGGATTATCCCAAATAAAGTAAAGATGGCTAATTAGAATAAGGCAAGTGAAAATTACTTGAATTAAGACAAACATCCATCCATAGTCAGCACTAGATAACCCAATAGATAATCCAATTCATCCTCAAAACAAGTCACACCAGATTTTAAATCAAAATATAGGATTGTTTGTCCTTGCGGCTCATCTTACTTACTTTTAGATATATCAATATTGTGGTGTTTCAGTTAAATTTGATTGAATTCCTGACTTTTCTCTTTTATTTTCTCCTAAAGGTCCAACTCCAATTATCTCTCCAGACTTGACTTATACTGGTCAAAACATGACGCTGAGATGTGGTCCCCCTCCTGACAGCATTAATCTGGGACAAATTTCTGGTTCTGTGTGGAGAGCTAAAGGGCTAGAAATTAGACATGGTGGAAGGATTGACATATCCAATACTAGAAATGAGTCAATGCTTACAATTAACAATGTCATTCTTGCTGATAGTGGTAAGTCAAAGCTAGCAGAATTCTTTAATTAATAAGGAACCAGGAACTAAGAAATCACTATACAATTTAATAATACAGTAGTCAAGTATAGGCCATAAAGACCTGGATTCAATACTGTTAATTAAGATCATATAAAGTAAGTAGTTTGGGAATAGAACATTGTGAAAAGGCTTTATGGCAAGTGCTTGCTGTGCTACAGTATCCATATTATCAATCTTCTCCTTACTATGACATGTAGTCAAGATGTAATCAACATATTTAGTCACAGCCATAGTGAAATACTGATATACCAGCAATTATCCACTTTACTTTGTTATATAGTGTCCCAGTGCAATCATTTATATCTACTTCTGTTATTAATCACAGGACCATATGAATGCATTCTGAGGGGCCAAGGAATAGATTTCCTCCAGGAAGGAGTTGTAAGAGCAGATCAAATCAAACAAGCTCCCATCGTGCGACTACGTAGTGAAATTAACATTAAATGCAATGAAGAGCAGATATCACTACTTACGTGTTGTGTGCAGCACCCCTACACAGTCCAGTGGTTTCAAAGCACAACACCTTTAAAGTCAAGTAAGTATGAAGTGATGTTGAAAACTCATCATTCTAGTCATGCTGAGTGGTTGAACATGGCTGTTAACAGTTTATCTTATTCAAAACACTCTTAAATGTTCACAGATTCTGCTAACAATAGTGAAGAGTCCTGCATCACACAAAATTACAAGCCAGAAAACTGCAGCGGAAAAACAAGTTTTATATGTAGAGTGGTTAAACCACGGGGTTATGAAATGACAATGACAGTGACGACATTCAGTGACAGTAAGATCATCATAACATTACTATAACTTTGCTATTCCTTTGCTGTTTTCATCATATTTCTTTCTAATATGTTATGTCAATTTCAAGGTGTTAAATGTAATGATACTCAGTATGGGACTGGACGAAAAGGGGACAGATCAAGCTCAGAGTGTAAAAAAGGTCAAGAGGGGAGCAAGACTGCGGTCTGTCAGGAAACAGGAGAGTGGAAACTTGTGAGAGACACATGCATCACAACAAAAATCAAGGAATTATTAATTGAATCACAGGTAGGTAATCTACTAAACTGCTTGAGAACTTTGGGGCTTGCCTGGAGTGAGACAGTACAATGCTTGAGTGTCTAATTACTGATGAATTTGGATGATGGGTAGATAATGTTTGTCTTGTATGGAAGAGGAATAGGGCCACTATAAAAAATTTGAGTTCTAATGTTTTTCTCAGAATTCTGACTTTAAACTTTTTTTTAAACAGAAATAAAAATTTTGAGAGAAAAAAATAAGTCAGTCAGTGCAACGTACACTGGTGGCATGTGATGCGCATAAAAACACCTGCTCTGATTATTTTTTATGCAAGCAAATCAGAGGCAAACTGACATGCAACTGACTAGTAATAACCAATTTCAGAAGTCCCACACTGAACTTGCACTGTTCCTGGAGTGTGCTATGTGACACGACGTCCCCAGTGTGTGTGTTATTCAGTTTTATTTCCATTGTCATGACACCATGTCCATACATGTTGACAGAGATGTGTTTATTTACAGGCTAAAAAACTTTAAAAAAAAATTAAAATCAACATAAAGAAAAGTAAAATACATCAGCTTAATGTAGCCAACAACAAAAGTAATAGTGATCCCCATTAATAAGAACAATTATGCGTTATTTGAAAACATATAAATAAATACATATGTGGCTCATGAAGACAGTTCTTCAGTGTATTGTAGAAGAAAAAATTAAAAACAGGTAATGTATACATAAACAAAAAAGTGTATTATCTGTGACATATACTGTATATATATATA